GACATTTCTTGCATATCACTCTCCGCTGTTTAGATATCACTGAACCAAAATTTATGCTTCACTGTTGTTTAAGAGGTTATAAAGTTTGGCAGTACAGTATAGAGCGAAACATGTTGCTGTGTGGTGATGTGAGAACATGATAATGAAATGGCCCTTCTGCTTAGGCCATCTATCAAGATGAGGGTTTCCTAATCGTGTTGGTGATGGAGTGTTGTGATAGGGGAACCCCTCGATTTTCCCTTCTATGCCCAAGTATCCTAACAGTCACGTGTTGTGGAGAAGGCGCCGATAACTTACAGATGCAGAAAAATGCTGGAGAACCTAACACTTTTTGTATGGAACTTCAAAAGAGCATGTTGAGTTGTTACACAGTCCTAGAAAACTTCCTGAAAATGGCTTTCTGAGGTTTTGACTTTGCTGCCAGCCAGCAGAAAAAAATATGTGATGGCCAGGCAAGGAAAGAGAGCTTGAAAAAGAAAGAGACTGGGTTTCGAAGTCTCTCTGTAGTTCCCTCAATTCCAGCCTGACTACTGCTCTGATAATGGCCAGTGGTAATTTAGAAAAAGACACCTTTGACTGTGGAGTCCTTGGTACTTTCTGTGCTTGGTTGTTTGCTTGCAGATGTTTCATTACCCAACTAGGTAACATCATCAGAGCAAGGGAGTGTGGGGTTTGCTCCCTGTTTATCTACAGTAGCTTGCCCTGCCAGTGTTGGTGGGGTGTGGTTTTCTTGTTGGTAGTTCCTTGATTAGGGCATTGTTTTCTGCTTGATTGTTTGTCTGGTGTTAATCCCTACTTACCTGGGTGTAGGTTGCTGGAGAGGATGTGTTCTGGTCTTTTTGTTTCCTTCTTAGCTTTCCTATTTTCTCTTTTGAATGGTGTGTAAATGTGGTTTATCTTTATACGTATGTCTATTGATGGCTGATGTGTCTGAGTGCCAGGCTTCCAGGAATTCCCTAGTGTTTTGGGATTTAGCTTGGTCTAGGATGCTCACAATTTCCCAGTTGAAACTATGGTTGCGTCTGTCCATGTGTTGTGAGATTAAGGAGTCACCCCCACCAACACTGGCAGGGCAAGCTACTGTATATTAAAAGAGAGCAAACTCCACACTCATTAGCACTGATGTCGTTACCTAGCCAGGTAACGAAACATCTGCAATCAAACAAGCTCAGATAGCACCAAGGACTCCACAGTTCAACCTTGAGCTACATCTATGTTCTACTGGAGACACCTTTGAGTTAGAGGAGGAGTTATTCACTTGCTCATATAAGCTTCTGAATATACAAGCATTTCATTTGTGGAATTTTCATTTCAAATTCCTTAGGATATAGCCATTTTTGAAACTATCTAGAGCGCAGATAGTCAGGTTGACATTTGGAGGACATCAGGTTTTGTACCCATGATCCAGACTGCATACTTCCTGCCCAAAATCTAGAGGAACAGAAGACTGGAGAATTGTGGAAAGAATACATTGGGGCAAGCAACATACTTCTCCAGGCCCTGATAACTATTCCTAGATTCTGTAACCTCTGTTTTCTGAGGAATGATTTCAGGGTAAACATATTGTTTGTCACCAGGATTTATTTTGTGGTTGTTCCCAACATACAAAAACAACTTATCTACCATATCTTGGAGGGAACAATGTGAAGAAGTATTGGCTTTCCCTTTGTTGTGCCCAGGCATCAAAACTCATTTTTGGAGTAAGGAAAATGTGATTACAGGTTGAGAACTGATGTGGCGAATTTGATTATTCATTATAGCTTGGATTGAGTTGAAATTGTGGAGGGTAGGATTTCTTCTCTCTCACTTCAAGGTCAAATGAGAGTATTTACCATTCTCTCTCTGTTTATCTTTGGATGCAAATTGAATTTGGTGATTCAAATTGATGAAATGTAAGGAATATAAAACTCATCAGAGGCAACATGGAGAAAAATTACTGGGTAGAGATGGCTGGTAGCTTCACCAGTCCATGTCCTGGACTTTCCTTTGATTAGTAATTATTTCAATCTTTGTTATTTATTTTCTTTCTTCATTCTCAATTTTATTTCAGTTGTTTTGATTTCTGTTTTTCAAAGCAAAAGTGTAATTACATTCTGAAGCATTTAGAATCAGAATTAGATGGTTGAAATAGCCAGCTGCAGGCAAGCAGCTCATACTGCAACTTGGGGAAACCATCTTTCCAGGCTTCAGCTTCTTTTTATTCTCAGTTGATCTTCCCTCCCTCTGTGCACAGTCAAGTTTCTAAGGCTGCCATAAGATCTAACAGCCTAATCAGATAGCTTGAACAAGAAAATCTCCATCTCTTACATTTTCAAGGCTACATATTTTTGGAGCCATCTTCCAGATCTTTTGGTTGGGAAAAGAACCTAACTCTGTTGCATTGAGCAGGAGATGGGACTTAATGTCCCTCAAATTCTATGGTTTGGGTTCATTTGATAGCATCTTGTGTGGCTGACTTCATTAGATTTTCTTGTCTCAGCTGTAGCTTTTTGACAGTTTGCTTACCTTCCTTGGCATAAATTCTGCCTTTATGAAGCTATGTCCTGGTACAAGTCTCTTCCTGCCAGTTTAACCCTAGCATCAGTACCCTCAACACCAAATTTTTCTGTCATCCTCCAACAACGTAGTTAAAGCAGAACAGCGTTTTTAATCAAATGCTCTCCATATCTGTAGGATGCTTGAATTACTTACTAAAAGAAATTCTGTCAAAGATAAATGAAATTTTGAATATCCCGAAGCAGTTTTTGAGAGAGAAGCTATTAAAATGCATCTTAGAGAGTCTGTATTCATTGTGTTCTCTCGTACTTGGAAGGGCTAACAACATTCTTTAAAATGGAGTTTTATCATTGAAATTATACTGAAGTAGCCTAGAGAAAGAAATAGTACTGAAATAAATTTCTCAGCTGCTTGAAACACAAAGATCCTTCCACTTGATTCAATAGATTTGGAACGTCAGGGAACATTAATGGGTTGATAAACAGGAATGGTCTTTTGTCTTTTAAGGCCAGGAATATATACTTTGAACTTGCAAAGAGTTCTGAAAATGCCACCAAGGTCGTGGTTCAACTGAGCTATCAGATGTAAGGTTTAATTTTTTATGAGTTTTGAAAAAATAAAAAAAGGGTTGGACTGTGTGGCCTTTAATGAGTGGGAAGTTTATCCAGCAAAAGTATAGCTTTCTTCTGTAGCTGTTGACATACTGTTTTGAGTTTTTATATTAAATGCTCAAATGGTTGTATCAAAGAGCACATAATTCAAGATTCCCCTTTGCTTTTGGAATTTTTAGTCCATATTATGTATGGTAAGCTCAGCTTACTTTTTGGGCAGGTGGATACCCATCCAAAGCAAACATCAGACTGCAGTTTTCTAGTACTTTTATTTTCTAAAAATGTCTCTGGGAACTTGGAAAAGATGCCCCTTCCTTTTTTTTTTCTTTTTTTTTTTTGATTTGGCCCAGTCTGCTAGTTAAGAAAAATATATCCTAACCTAGTGGCATCCAGACCTTTTCAGATCCAGGGGCAACCTGGCTAATGGAACCTGTTTATTTCAAAATGTTTTAAATATTCATGCTTTTAAAAACAGCAGCAAGCCTGAAACCTTCAGCAGGATGGAAAATCACAGTAGAACGTCTGGCGGAACTTGTTTCGGAATTGGAGCTGCTGCCAGTTCAGGATCCTCAACTAAACTGATTCAGTGTCAGAATGAAAATTCACTGCAAATCCAATTTTATGTCTAGCACGCTCTCTCTCTCTCTCTCTCTGCTCAGTTGTATCATCCCTAGCTAGTTTATCCAAGAATAATCATGCATAAAATTGGGTTCTTTCATCTGTGTTCTGAAATCTTAGCAGAGGAAGTTGAGAGCGAAATATATCTCCTCTCTTTCTGAGAGTCCACGCGGTTGAAATCCTGGCATTCATAATAGTTTAACAGAACCCTTACATGCTACTCAGTGGCAAAGGTTCCATTCTCTGTGTAACTAATTAATTAAAAGAGAAAAAGGGACAGGGGCCTCATAGTGTTGTGGTTATTAAATTAGTCATTTTTTCACAGTAGATTTATAGCCTTCATGATTAGCTTTCCCACCTGACTGCGACAATGGAAAGAATCTATTTTACAGTCTATTAAATTGGTATATGAATAGCTTCAAATTGAACTGGAACTTTCCTAGAGCACCTTAATTCATTGACAGATTTAAGATACTTGTAGGGAGCAGTTAGAGAAGGGGGAAGGATTTGATGGGCTACTTGTGAAGAGAGCTTTTATAGTTCTCTTATAGGGAAAAAGAGAAACTTGACAGGGGAAGAACAGTTTTTGAGGTATGTGTATCTGTCTCTGTGTATGGGAGCAGTGTAAGCAACTCACCTTGTTAGAAAGATAATTTTTGTGTGGTATTTGAGAAGACCTGACTCCCATAAATACATTGAGTATTTTTATTCTCATGTTCTGCCTTCCACGTCTGTTATGGAAAGTCTGAAGAGTGAGTTTTCATTCACGAATGTTACAGTCCCCTATTATTTTGCATGGCTCTCCAAATAATTTTGGAATCCTAGAAGGTGCCCTTCTTATAACTATTTTGCATCTCTTTAAGCCAGGGTTTCTCAATCTTGGCAACTTTAAGATGCGTGGACTTCAATTCCCAGGATTCCCCAGCCAGCTGGGAGTTGAAGTCCACACATCTTCAAGCTGCCAAGGTTGAGAAACACTGCTTTAAGTCATGGCTACCCTGGAAGACTAAATGTTACAGCCCTAGGACCAGGAGCTCCATTAAGGACCTACAAAATTCACTTTAGACCTATGTCAAAATGAGGTACAGATGCAAATATTTTAGCAGTTATGTGTGCGAATCAACCAGTATCATATTCCTGAGCAAGCAAGGAAGCCTTTGGACATTCAGAAGGATTGGCAACTGTTTTCCATATTTTAAGGTGCTTTTCTCCTGTGCTCAGTGTAGAAAATAACTCTACTTTTCCTTGTTCAAATGTCCTTGTTCCTTTTTTTAGTGCCAGGTTGTTGGAGAGTGCACGGAGACAACTGCAAGAAGAGTTGCTGAAGGTTCAAAGCCAGCTCCTGGAAGAGAAGAAAAAACGAGACCAGCAGGAAACCATGGTTAAGTGCTTACAGAAACACATGCAGCTTCTCGTCAAGGTAGGTCTCCTCAGTGAAGAAACCAGGGTGTTGCTTGCACTGTCCTTCTCTTCTTGGGAAATCCAAAAACTAGAGAAATTGATGTTTCTTTGTAGCAGTTGCCAGATGTTGCAAGCCTGGAAATCTGGCCCGAGGGATTTCTGTACTCAGAACCAAGCTAACACCATGTTTAACCACTGCATAAACTTTCAATATAAAAAACAGTAGATGTATAGCACGGCCTGGGAATATACGTGGGGAGCATGCCAGGTGCAGAGATACTGAGGAGTTCACAGGGAGGGCATTGCTCAGGCTGATAAGTTAGCTTCTTGCATTCTTAATTGAAAGTCCATTTTGCACCCATGATTAATGCATGCGCAGTGTGTTGGGTATAAAAATTTTAGAAACCTGCCCCCTGGCACAGACGTGCCATGGTAGAACATTGCACACATACCTGGTGCCCGTCCCAGGGAGCATTGCGTGTTTACTCCTGTAAGTATTTACCTTTAATAAAGCTTGTGATGATCACACTAGCTTTCAGCTTCTCTTTCTTGGAAATCTCTCATGGATGCTGCCTCCTGGAGGGCATTTATATTTGCATTTACGTTTGGGGAAACAGAATTATATTCCTAACCACCACTGGGCTCTTGAATCAAAGATGATGGTGGTGATGGTGATGGTGATGGTGATGGTGATGGAGGAAAACCAAAAACTTCCCAAAGATATTACTAATATTCCTAGAATCAAACAGGTTGAAAGAATAAAATTTGGAGCGAAGACTCCATTGGGCTTACAAACTGAACGGGGCTGTTCATGTTTGCCTGACCTACTCTTGTTTTCAGAAATTCAAAGAGGATGTGGAGATTCCCCAGAATGCTACATAGCAACTGTAGGGGAAGAATGAAACTGATTATGTTGTGCTAAAGATCTGAGTATCAGCCATCTTACAATCTCTTATTGTATGTTCTAATGTCTCTGTGTTGCCTATATTTCACTTTGCCCCTTATGGGTAGATCCACTTAATGAGTGCTTGGTTATTTATTTCTGAATTTGCAACTGATTTATCCAGTAATAGCTGAATATATATATGTCTAACACTGTTGTCTTGGTGAAGCTTCCCCTAACCTAGGACAAAAATTTTGCTTTAATTAAATGAAAATGATCACGTAGTTTAATATTAAATTGAGCAAATATATTACCTGTTAAAAATAATAACTTTGCACTGAAAGCTTTATAACCGAGACTGATATTTAATGATCTAATTAGTATCTCCTATGGTAGACGCAGTTGCTGTAAGTATCATTGAAAACAGAAGAGAGGAGGAGAAGGCAGGGAGCTGATTGCCCCTGACTCTTTCAGAATGGAAAGCCTTGGGTGTTTTTGAAGATGGTGATATAGCTTATAAACAGTTATTTTAAAAAATGTTCTGAGAACCAACAGCCTATCGGTGGCTACCAGTTCTAATGCTGTGCTTTGTCCAGCATTAGAACCAGTATGAGTTTGAATTCCATATGCTTGTCCAAAACACACAAGAGTGATTGTCCTATGATTGGTGAGGCATCTAACCAGCTAAATACCTTTATCATCATGGACGTCTTGGGGGTATTTTGGTTGTGGGAAAGAGGACACTAAACAAGGTAAACCTGTGGTCTTATTTGGCAGGACTTCAGTGTCCTAGTGAGCTGGCAAGTTCTAAGGATATCATCCAGCCAAGTTCTCCTTCGGAAAGAATTGGCTCTTTCTTTTAAAACAATGTCTCAGTTACGGATCAAAAGCTGGAACATATATATTCAGAATCCTTCAAAAAAGCTAATTTCCTTTGACTGAGACGTACCTCTGACTGAGCATTTTAAAAAAGCCATTGTAGTGTGCAATGGCAAGTTCCAATATTCCTCAGCCTCCATTGGGAATTTCTTACATTTCCAAGCAGCTCTCATGGGATCACTCATGCCTCACTCTTAAGGTAATAGGATTGCCTTGCTAGTTTAGATTCTCCTGCAGTAATCCATGGCCGACAGTGGACACTCAAGACATTTCTGGGAGATTATAGACAGGATGGAGTAGAAATAGCCATTGTCTGTTGTTTGCTGGAGTCGCAGGAAAACAGTTAAATCTCTGTGTTCCCACTGATGCAGCTACTAGCCATCTCTCTTTCTCTGCCCCCCATCTCCACCCCCAGTGCTAATAGGTAGATCAACCACACCTTATGATGGTCAATTTTGTTTTATCATTATGCATTGTTTTTAGAAGCAGTTCACGGTTTCTACCTTTGAACTTTCTGGTCATGAGTGTCATCATTTAAGAAAGAAATTATCTTGCCTTTGAGCTGTGAAGCCCTAAGGAGTTTGCAGTCTTTTTTAAAATACAGCATAGAGAAATGCCAAAATAATAAAATGCAATTAATAATGGAGCAAAATGAAATGAAAACAGTTGGGGGAAAAGCAGAGTAAGGTCCCAGGAGAAACAGGAACGGTTTACTGCTTGAGTGAAGGCTACAAGAGACCAAAGCAACCAGACTTCTAAAGAAACATGTTTGGCTTCTAGTTCCTGAAAATGATTTAGCTTCAAAAATTAGTGTGTCCCTGGCTTTTCTCCCTCTTTTTAAAAAGTTCTTGGCTGGTTTGGGTTTTTTTGCACAGAGTTTACAATTTATGTTCACTGAATAGGTTATAAAACAAAATAGGCCAAGTTTCTGATGGCCGCTTTTATATGATTAAGGTAATTCTAGCTTGTTGTGAACCATGCCGTGGTTAGATATCCACTCGGATAACAGTCCTAACAATTTCCTTTGACATCCAAATGGTCTATTTTGCATTTAGGGGAAGTTATGCTAAGTATGCAAGAGCAGTTAACAGCTTCTCATGTTCCTGCAAGCCAAGCCAGTTAACATTTTAGGGTATTTATTTTTGACAAATATGACCCCCCCCCTTTTTTAATTATTGTATGTCATAAGGGAGATGCCCAATTCTGGTAGAATCTCTTTTGATGATTACATTTACTGTCTCTTGTGCATTTCAGTGATGTGTTATCATAACCCAGAAAGACAGTAAATTGCTTTTTATTGTACTCAGGGCAATTTTTGTGACATGTTTGTTGTATGGCCTGGAATTAAACATGACACAATTTCTGCTGCACTTCCTTCCAAACCAGGATCATGTATGTATTGATTGGCCATCTCTAGCGGCTTATTTGTGGGTTGGTTATCCAGAAGGCATCATCTCAGCTGTCAATATTTGTATGAATTATCCTTCCTGTGCCTAGAGCTGAAAACAACATCAGAAGATTGAGCACTGTGATAAAACTGTCGCTAATTCAGACTACGTATCCTACAAAGGAAACAGACCTAAAGGGTCAATTTTTCTCTCAAAGTAGACTCCATAGCCAATTCTGTCTTGGAAGGTGAAAATTCACCTGTCAGAATAGCTGAAACAGACTCTTGATCAGGTTGCTGAAATGCTTTTCTTAATACTGTTCAGCTACAAACTCAGTTATTATTTCAACGGAGTGAAAAGGAGTGCCCCACAATTTAGATTATGGAGAGATGGGGGAGGGTATAAAACTATTCTAGCCTACTAAAATAGCTCAGTTCGTAGAAAGGCAGTATCTCATGCTGGCACTACGTACTTCTTGGGTGCATACTGTGCAAGTGAACGTCCTGTGTGGATGACAACATATACGCCCCAAAGAAGAAGCTGGACTATTTTTCATAAGGAAGAATTAGCACAAGACCTGGTTCCTTGAGGGACCGCCTGTCTCGCATAGTATCTGCTCAGCCGACCCAATCTGGCAGGGCTGGCACGCTCTAGGTTCCTTCGATTAAACGGTGCCATCAATCGGGACCCAAGAAGTGCAGCTTCTCGGTAGCAGTGCCTGCCCTCTGGAGATTCTCCCTGCGATTTGAATGGTCCCAAAGACCTGGACCTTCGCCCAGGCCTTTGGTGGAGAGGACAGAAGCCCTCTTTTCTTCTTTTCTTTGTTCCCATCCGGGTTGGCATCTCTGCCATCTTCTTCCTTTTGGTTTTGGATTGTTTCTTTGTTTTTAAATGGCTTGAACAATTTGTAAACCGCCCAGAGTCACTGAGAGTCAGGCAGCATATCCATTTAATAAATAATAGTAATTATTATTATTAAGTGATGGAGATGATCATTACTGGGGGCCGCCTGCAAAAGGTAGGAATGAGGTAGCAAAGGAAGCAATGCCCTAATCCTTGATCTCCCAGTAACCTTCTCATCCCTAGGCTTTTCTCTGCAGTGATGAGGACTAGAATCCTTTTCTTTTTAAACACAAGCAACCCCGATGCAACACCATTCTTTGCTGGCTTCTGTGTCTTGTTCGACTTCGGCGTGCCTCTGTCTGTTCAGGACAGCAGGGCAAAACAGAACATGGGGAGTCTGTTTCTTTGCAAATGACACTATTTTCCCCAAACTGAATGTATCAGTACAAGGTTCATTCTTAATGTCTTTTTTCTTTTTTGGCAATCTCCCATTCTTGCTAATACCTTTTCTATTAAAGCTATGATGAGGCTTGCTTTGCACTTCAGATGTAATATTCCTGTCGCTTTCTACTGAAGGAGAATAACTTAGGCTGCTGGATGGTATGTTTCATCATTATATTCATCAGAAGACATTACCTGCATGCTTGACATTTAGAAGCCTCCTGTTTGGAATGTGCAATTTTTGGTGTGGGGGGAGGAGAGAGACCTTTATTAAAGAACTCCAAGTCTAAGAGTTTAATTGTTACTGATAGCTAAGGGTATAATTACTTTGGTGAAATATCATGACTATATTAAGCAAATGGAAATTGGCTCCCGGAATTAAGCGAAGACAAAACCATTTTGATCGGGGCTGTTTGGAGAGAGCTTGTAATATCATTTTGCAGCATCTCTTTAAGGAAAATGAGCCATGAGACGCGAATTGGTTGTGTTCCAAGAGGAAGTTGTTTGTTCTTTGAATTTACTTGCAAAGTTTACAAAGCTAAACATAATTAGAGCTGTTCTTCAAAGAGAAAACAAGAGACGCAC